GGTGAGCGGGGGCTACTCTTCATTGCAGTGCACAGGCTTCTCTTTGCGGTGGCTTGTCTTGTTGCGGAGCACGGGCTTCAGGCGCTGGAGCTTCACTAGTTTTGGCACGCGGGCTCAGTAGTTGTGGCTCTTGGGCTCTAGAGCGCAGGCTCAGTAGTCGAGGCACATGGGCTTAGTTGCTCCACGGCATGTGGGACCTTCCTGGACCAGGGCTTGAACCCGTGTCCCCTGCACTGGGAGGCGGATTCTTAACCACTGCACCACCAGGGAAGCGCTCTTGCTTCTTTTTTCATAGCTTTTCTCATTTACATGTATGTGTTTTAAGTGAGGAAGCACAACATCTTTCAGGTCTATCCTGTATGATTGCGCCAGTTAGTAACTATACAGACTTGCCTGGCTAAGGTAGTAATTTGAAGCTGAAATACATACCAAATCATTTGCCTTAGTGTGGGGTTACCTCCACCTGGCAGAAGGGGCACTTTTTTCTAATTTGCATAAATTTACCACCTCTCACTAAGCCGTGGGCCTACGTGAGGATCCTGGGATGGATATGTGTGTGTGTGTGTGTGTGTGTGTGTATGTGTACCTCTTTCTACTTTCCATAAAGGTATCCTATGAACAAAGGCCCTGATGACCTGGTGGTCTCTTGTTTATCTTTTCCTTCTGGGTGTCTGTTTAGCCCTCTGGGCATCTATTCCGCCCTCCAACAGAAGCTGTGAGTTATAGGACTGACCAGCTTCCCATCAGTCTCTTGGGTGTGCAGACTATGTCTGGGGCTCTGCAGGCTCTGAGACCAAAGAGAATTCATTAGTCCTTCCATACCAGAGATGTGGAATGCAGGATCAGGGCTGGTGTGACGGGCTTAGGGGACAAGGATGATTTACTCAGTCTGATCTTGGTATTTTTTTTCTTAGGAATATGGTCTGTTTATAAAAGAAGTTTTGCAAACCTGAGTGCCTCATAAGGTTTGATTCATGTTGGTTAAAAACAGTAAGCTTCAGAGTCCTATGTTGAAGACAGTATTAAAAAAAATATATAGAAAAACACATCTAGAATCTAAATCTCTATCCAGTGCCTTTGATTAACCAGAAATTTTCCTTTGTTTCAATTTCACCCAAGGATAAGATTTTCTTGAACTATGAAAACCTCAAACCAATCTTTTGTAGGACAGTAGACTTTATGTGTCTACTATTCTGCTTGAAATTATGTTTGTCACTTAATCTCTTTCTGAATTTTTGCTGTTGAGTACATTTCATTTTTACTCAAACCAGTGTTGTTCCTAATTAGAAATTTAAAGTACATCTGCTGCAGTTTGTACACACCAGGATGTATTTATGTAATACTTTCAGCCAGCCAAGATATTTTTCATGACTCCAACATACCATTTTTTTCATAGAGTGCTTATTGATGAGACCTTATAAAAATGCACAAGAGTGTGCACAGAGAGGCAGTTGTGTAGCTCAGGAGAGACCTCACAAGGAAGAGATTTCTTAAATATATATATTTGAGGGATATATGGTACAGAAAAACACTTCTCCCTCTGTCTTACGCTGTTCTTTATACGTTCTCCCTTAGTATATCTCATGGATGTGTGCTGTTGGAAAGTGAAAATAATCTTACAAATGGAGAAATTTCATTAAATTTCAATGAGGTAACTAAGGAAACTCATTTTCAAAGATATACATTTATTTAAGTGGCTTGAATGTTGCTTAATCAGGAAATGACCAGAATACTAAATACAGGTAGGTTGGACTTGTCTCCATCAGTAGCTTTGAGAGTCAGGCTGGGGGCTTCCCTGGTGGCACAGTCGTTGAGAGTCTGCCTGCCGATGCAGGGGACATGGGTTCGTGCCCCGGTCCAAGAAGATCCCACATGCCGCGGAGCGGCTGGGCCCGTGAGCCATGGCCGCTGAGCCTGCGCCTCCGGAGCCTGTGCTCCGCAACGGGAGAGGCCACAACAGTGAGAGGCCCGCGTACCGCAAAAAAGAAAAAAAAAGAGAGGCTGTTGAAAGTGATGACATGGAGGTTAAAACAGCAGAGGCCCTTGCTGTGGGTGGAAACTACTTGGCTCAAAGCATGAATAAGTTATACTTGTTATTCATGTCAAGGGAAAGCTAAGAGAGAAGCGATGAATATTTGTATCTACCCAGGCATTATGCGCTGCCACAGGATATTAAAAAATAAAAAGCCGATCCTGAGACTTAAGCTCCTCTTCCTATAGGAAGGAAGAGGAACAGAGGCTCCATTATTTGGCAGTGCTTTCTTCTGAATACTATATTTCAGATTTGACATTTTCAGCCAATAAAATATTGCTAAGAAGGTTGCTAAGGAATTCTCTAACATAAAACATTTATTACTGGGACCACTGTCCTTGAGCCTGGGGTTATGTTTAAATGTTTTCGATGAAAAGCCTCTGATTTCAAGGCTAGATAATCCTCCCCCTTTTTTCACGGCCCTGTATTGTCTGGGTACTTGTGGGCTACACATGTTGGCCATAGATTGACCACAGTCCTATTCCTAAGATGAAAGATTCTGGTGTGATATTGTCACACTTAATCAGATTAGATATTGCAGAATAAAATCTTTTACAAACTGTTTTTTCTTTTCAAACCTTTCCTGATATTTTCATAAGCGAGATTCATGGAACTTGGAAAATTCTCTATGAAGCTTCTCTTAGCAAAGTGCTAGCACAGAAACCCTTTTTGCCTCTTGAGATCCTATCCTTTAAGCCTCAACTTGCTATTCTTCTCTGAAATTTTCTACTCCTCTGGGGTCTCACTGACTCCCCTCCACCTTGCATCTCTGACTACTTCCATCATCCCACTTTGAGGCTTGTTTGAATATCCTTGTGGTCTGCTCTGGTGGTTTTATGAATTGTTCCTAATTAAAGTGTAAGCTCTCTTAAAGGGGTTGGTGTCTGTTTTTTTGTATCTCCCCTCATGCCTCATAAGCCCCTAACATAACAAGTCCATAATGGGTGCTTGGCTAAGTAGATTTACTTTGTTTGGAAGTCTATCAAGAGGCCTAAGTTAAGGACAGTCATATTTTATGTTTTCTACATTGAGCTGAATACTTAGCTCCAGACACCCACCTGGTCTGAGTCAAAAGTGCTTGGTTTGAGTCTCAGCACTATTGCTTAATTAACCTCATGATCTTTGGCATATGATTTAACGTCTATGTCTTTACCAATAATTTATTAATCCCTCAATTCCCTTTTAGTCCAAATGTTTGAAGACGGCTTGATTGATCTACAGCACTGGTTCTCAAAGTGTGGTCCCCAGGTCAAGAGTATCATCATCATCTGGGAACTGTTAAAAATGCAAGTTATAGATGCCGCCCGTCCCATACCTACTGAATCAGAAACTCAACATTTTACAAGCCCTCCAAGTGATTCTGATGCATGCTAAAGTTTAAGAACTACTGATTTGCAGTGTAGTCAAGTCCCTGGTATGGTGAGAAGCTCCATACCACAATGTTAACGGACATTGATGATTCTGCAGTCATTTCATGGTTGGCATTTAAATCCAGTATCTCGTTTCATCTTTAAGCCTCTGAAGAATGGCTCACTCTTGCATCATACTCAAGTTTGCAGGTACTACCCACAGAACTGAAGCTCCTAAGCTTCTATAAAGTGTGGACAATTGCGGGGTGAAAAATCTTTCTGAGGGTGAACAAAGAATATGCAATGGACAGGGGATTAATTTTCAGCGGCAGCCTCCTAATTTTGTATTCATCCCATTGTACGCATGCTAGGCTACACATGCAACGTCTGCTGATATACACTAGGTAATTGGGCATCCAGCAGCCCTGTTTGCATGCAGGGGTGGTTGCACCCCTCCCATGTACAACTTGAAAATTAAAGCCCAGTTTGAAGCTGGCTGAAAGCTTACTGCTAGGAAAATGAGATAAGGAAGAAATGGCTTCTGTTAATCAGCGCTTTTGGCCTCTACTGTTCAATCTTTGCTAATTTGTCCTTTGAAATTGTACATTCCGTGTTGGATAAAGACTTCTAAGAGTATCTGGGATTTTTTAAAAAAGACCTACATTTATAAGCTGATTGTATTTATCCGTAACATTTCCCCTCACACTGTACCTACATGTACGCTGCAGTCTTGCTGTGCTTATATTTCTGCTCTATGAAGTATTCATACTTCTGTGGGACTACATGTATCATCACAAAGAGCCACCCCCCAGCACAGACTCACGGACTGGGTCTCTGGCATCATTTCATTTCATTTCATCCCACGTTCATCAAGCAGCTACTTTGTGCCAGGGGCTGGGCATATATGGATCCCTCAAGCACTGTTTCTGCCCTCAAAAGCTCACAATATTGTAACAACTTCTTGCACCTCACTGGTGAATATTTTTGCTTAAATGAAGTCTTCCCTGGTCCCCGCTCCCCCCCACCCAGAGAATTGAAGTGACTCCTTACTTCTCTGAACTCCTGATTATGCTCGACCTATGTCCCCAGGAGAATGAGGGGCCCAGCGGACCCCTGCCTAGAAGTCAAAGCCCCAAAACACAAGACTGTGGCCATCTGGCCACTCAGATGGGTCATCAGGAGGAGGTGGCTGCATTGCAGATGGCCCCTACACCCAGTGTGTGGGAGCCAAAAATGTGTGAGTGTTTCCTGTACTCCTGTAGTGGGTGACATGGAAGAGAAGGCCAGTCATCTCAAAGGGATGTACCCATGAGCGCCACCTGGAGGCACAGTGGATCCCTACAAAGACAGTTTACCAAGAACTGACCCTGAGGAAGTCACTTGTCATTCTCCATCAACTGCTTTATATTTCCATATGTGGCCGTGTACACTGTTTTAGTTTACCAGATAGATTGTAAGCTCCTGGAGAACACACCTGGGTCTTAAAAGGAATATTATCTTTCCTAGTACCTATTTGATGGTGATGATCATAAATACAGTATATTATCAGAAAGAATGTATGGTGCTTTATATGTATTAATAATTTCTCATGATAATCCATTTTTTTCTCTTCATTCTAGCACAGGTGCATATACCTTGATAATACCAAATGAAAAACGAAGAAATGAGATGCAACGGAGTATGTGTATTATTTACCATTCAAAATACTTCTCATTTTCTTTCTTTTTGTTTTTAAACTACAGCTTTTGTTACTTTATTCATAATTCTTCTTTAAAATTTATTTTTGGCTGCGTTGGGTCTTCGTTGCTGCACGTGGGCTTTCTCTAGTTGCGGTGAGGGGGGGTTACGCTTCGTGTGGCGTGCGGGCTTCTCACTACGGTGGTTTCTCTTGTCACAGAGCACGGGCTCTAGGCACACGGGCTTCAGTAGTTGCAGCACGCGGGCTCAGCAGTTGTGGCTCACGTGCTCTAGAGCGCAGGCTCGGTAGTTGTGGCACACGGGCTTAGTTGCTCCCCAGCATGTGGGATCTTCCCAGACCAGGGCTCGAACCCGTGTCCCCTGCATTGGCAGACGGATTCTTAACCACTGCGCCACCAGGGAAGTCCCTGTCCCATTCCTTCTTAATGGAATTTTGTTTTTCAGTCTCTGTGTTCCCATAATTTTGTAACTATCAGAGTCTACCCTCAGCTGTTTTTATTCGTGACTTCACTTTCCTGCTTTAGATTATAAGCTCTTTGAGGGCAGGGGATACATCTTACTTGTTTTTGTGCTCCTTGTACCTAGTGGGCATATAACATGCTTAACTGAAGTTGTACAGTAAAATAAATGCTGCCCTTTAAAGTTACAGTATTATACCTTAGAGTTGGAAGGAGAACTAAAGTTCATTTAATTCACAAAGAAGTTCTGAGGCTTGTTCAAGTCAACTGTGGGGCTAGCACTGAGATTCTGTGCTCTCCTATCTTGATCTTAATAGGAAATTTAATTTTGTAATGACCAGTGGACATAAGGGCACAGCAGGAAAGTAGCTCTATAAAGGTCTCCACTGGACAGGTGGGCCCCTGGGTAGTACATCTGAGTATGTGCAGAATATGACAATCACAGCTATGCTAACACTGACTGTGGGCACTGCCTGCAGGTGACCAACGGAATCCCAAAGATTCTGGCATTTTACAAGTTTTTGACTTAAATAGTTAACAGGAATTTAAGCCTCAGTGCAGTCTGGATTTTTGAGATGTTTCAGAAAGTTTTTTTCCCTCTAATAATTAAAAAATGTTATAAATGGACGTTTGAAATAATCACTTCTAATGAGATACGGGCATACATTGGAAGAACAGAACTAGTATCTCTGGCGCCCCCCTGCTGCCAGTCAGTGTATATTTGGGGAGTGAGCACTGCTCTACATGGCTCAGCCTAGTGGTTCCAAATGCCAGGAATCTGAGAGGCCTCGTTCCTCATGGTTACATTAAGCTTGGGGAATATTTAAAATAAAGTGAATACAGGCATTAGAATTTTATGGGGATTTGTGTTTACTGTGTGTTCTTATTGAAAAGTTAAGAAAAGTTCTTATTGACACATGAATGTTTTGCACACACTCTCTATAGGAAACTTTTAAATAAATGATATAGGGTTTGGAAAATGCCAGAGTGGGAGGAAAAACTGAACTTCTTTATTTAGTAGGAGTTCAGGTTGTTTTCAGTTTTTTAAAAAAATTTATTTATTTTTGGCTACGTTGGGTCTTTGTTGCTGCATGCGGCCATTCTTTAGTTGCAGTGAGCGGGGGCTACGAGTGGGGGCTACTCTTTGTTGTGGTGCGTGGGCTTCTCATTGCAGTGGCTTCTCTTGTTGTGGAGCACAGGCTCTAGGCGCAAGGGCTCTAGGTGTGTGGGCTTCAGTAGTTGTGGCGCACGGGCTTAGTTGCTCCATGGCACGTGGGATCTTCCCGGACCAGGGCTTGAACCCGTGTCCCCTGCATTGGCAGGTGGATTCTTAACCCCTGCGCCACCAGGGAAGCCCCTGTTTTCAAATTTGAACCTTCTGTGCAGACTCTTGGAGAGAAAGTGCCTTAGGGTGACCCCAAGAGGTTAGGACTGGGTGGGTGGTGTCTTCCTTTCCTGGATATCTCGTCCACTCATGCTTGCATGTAGTTAATTGTCCATCTGATGGTGGTTTGTTATGCTTTCAAGGGAGCATTTCCCTTTTCATGCTCTAATAATTGATGATTTGATATTTCTCACCTGGCTTAGTGGCTGCAAAAGAGCTGGAGGACCTGAAGAGGTGGAAGGAGCAACAAAGGACGAAGCCCATTAACCTGGCACCCATGCAGCTAGGTAAGCCAGCAAGCCAGTTGCTTGAATGTGGAAGGACAGGGCCACTCAAGGATCCTGTTAGCACCTTGCCCACATCTGTCTTTCAATGTACGTTATAGGTCATTGGACCATTGTGCTACTTGAAATGGAATGCATTTAATGTCAAAACATGCACTTAAAGTCAAAAGTATGCAGGTATACTGTTGTTTCTGATTTTCTGCAAGTAGCAAACGGATGATGCCACAGTTATATGGGAGTAGAAGGATGGCTTAATTGCCAAATAATTTAGAGCCTCTTAGTTGATCAGCTCTGAAGAAATCTTACCTGGGGCGCTGCATATGCCCTTTTCCTCCCATCCTGATTAGTGCTATCACAAGCATATTAATCATGGCATTTAACTGGTTGTGGGAAAAAGAATGAATGGAGAGTCAATTCCAACACTAAGATGAGAGTGGGCTGGGGACACAGGGTGGGTATAAAGAGAACATCGCCTGTGTTTTAATTTGCAAATAGAGACTTTTGGGCCTCTGGAACACGTGGCAGTGTGATGAATTGTCTGTGCTGCCTTTGCCTGGTGTTTGAATAATTCAACAGGGAAGCCCTCTAATGGGAATCATTCACATCTTCTCTTTTCTCTTCCGGAAGCAGCTGAGAGCTTAAAGGGCTAGACACACAGTTCCCACAGATTTAGTTCACACAAATGTGTTACGAGTCAGAGGCCACTTACTCTAACAGTGTTTTTTATCTATTTATTTATTTTTTTGGCTGCACTGTGTGGCATGCGGGATCTTAGTTTCCCTCCCAGGAATCGAACCCACACCCCCTGCAGTGGAAGTGCAGAGTCTTAACCACTGGACTGCCAGGGAAGTCCCTCATAGTAGTTGTCAAGAAGTATTTTTTCCAAGATGTAGGTAAAAATAACCTAATTTGGTAATCATTTAGTGAGTGCAAGTAATAGTATCATCATCATCATCCCACTGTATTTCATGAGAGGGGTTAATCTCGTGTCACCTTTTTGCTGAATAAGCTGCATTTGAGGGGTGCAACCTGGAGACAGCTTTGTCCTTCCTAACTGGCCCCCTCACACCAGCTATGTGGGTCTACTTTTTCTTATGTTCTTTGGATGAAATTAGATTTTTTTGGTATTTCTCAAATAAGAAAGTTGTCCAGCTAATTCTAGGCATAAAAACAGTGTCATTTCAGTAATTAAGTTTAGTCCTAAATACTGATCAAAACTCTGTTACTGATGGAGATTAAAGCTTCTACCCTGCTCCAGCCCAGGTCTGTTCTGGATAGAAAGTTGCCAAAGGAAATGCGGTGTGGCTGAATTTCTCACTATTGACTCCACTGTTCCCAGATTCTGACCCCTCATGGGTCAAAGGGAGAAGGGGAGGTTAGGGTCCGTAGTGCACCGATCCCAGTTTCTTCAAGTTTTGGTGTGTGTTTACTGTGCATCTCACCCCTGGGGTTCTTAGAGTTCTTCGGAGTCCCTCCTTGCCTGCCAGCCATCTCTCACCTGGACTTTCTTGATAGATATGATACTTTTTCCTGCTGGCGGTGCTTGGCTTCACCGCTGGCTCTTGGTAGCTGGACTATCTTTGTAGAGCTCCATTGTACCTCTGGGTGGCCCACATGGGCAAGGCCCTTTTTAATTTTTTTTGGCCATGCCGTGCGGCATGCAGGATCTTAGTTCCCCAACCAGGGATCAAACCCGCGCCCCCGGCAGTGGAAGTGCAGAGTCTTAACCACTGGACTGCCAGGGAAATCCAGGGCAAGTCCCTTTAAGATGACGTTAGATTGGCATTCTCTTTCATGACAACCAGATTGGGAGTGCAGGAAACACTTGTGCATTCTTCCCACAAACTCTGGGAATACGGGCCATTTGCCCTGCAGCCATTTTTTGTTTATGACCAGTCTGAGTAGCCACATGAGAACAGCCATGTGCCTTTTGGTTCTGACCTTCCTAAGCATGGGTCCACGAGGTCCCTCAGTCTCTTGGGGACACAGATTGAGCCCTTCAAGTGATTTTCATTAAACCTCTCTTACTTACATTGATGTGAAGATTCCTCCTTCCCCAAACACATACACAGAGAAGATGAAATTCACAAAGACATCTTTTCTCTGATTTCTACCTTCCTTTGACCTAGCTAACCTCTTTTATAGACTAAAGGTAGGTGCCAATTAAGGTTCCCCAAAGTGGTTTTCAGTTACACCCTTGCATATCCTGCCTAGGGAGCCAAGCACTTGCCTTGGGGATTTGGAGTTGTTGGTGCCTACTGTCTTGGGGCCTTAACCAAAAAAGAGCAGGAGTTCTGCTATATGGTGTACCTAGGAATGGTCAAGGGGGAAGAGGGTAGTGAGTAGAAAAGAATTCTAGAATGTTTTAAACTTTGAGATGAGTTTTAAAGAAAACCTGCAAATGCTTATACATCTTTCTCTATTTTTATTTTTTAATTTAATTTTTTAATTTTTTGGCCACGCCATGCGGCATGTGGGATCTTAGTTTCCTGACGAGGGATTGAACCCGTGCCCCCTGCGGTGGAAGCATGGAGTCTTAACCACTGGACTGCCAGGAACGTCCAACTTTCTCCATTTTTAAATTCTCAACTCCTCCTCTATTCCTCTACCCCGTAAAATATTGGAATGGTTCTAGGAGATACTGAAAGTGGCTGTAACATTAGATAAAAGCCTCAATAGCCCTCACTGTTTCTTTCCTTAGGGCCAAGACCAAACAGGTATTATAGAGCTTTTGGGACTCAGAAGTCTCTGTGGTGTCTTTATCTGTTCAATTATAACAACTATGATGAATGCAAATTGTTTTACTGCATCTTCTGTGCAAGTGACTCTTTCAGAGAACTGACACTTTTAGTGACCAAATCACCGGAGAATTATTTCAAAGGAATCTTTAAAATATGCACGCCAAGCTTGCGTAAACACTGAGAAATTCCTAAACAGTAATTCTTAGATGATTGTCAAATTGCAAGGATTTCTGGCCCCCAGTTATTATAGGTTTAAGAGAGAGCAGACAAATGACCTAACATCCATATTTTTCTCTTGAATACCTAAAGAAAAGAACAACAATAAATAGTATGGATTGACAATCAATTTTAATTAGAATATTCCCATTGTACTTTTAAAAACTGCGTTATAAAGACTGTATACTCGTCTCATGGCAAGACCTCTGAGGCTTTCCTGAGCTTTCGCTACTTGAATACAGGGCCATAGAGTCAGAAGAAGAAAAACATTGGAAACGTCACTGATCATCATCTTTATTAGGTTAAGGAATGGTCATACTCTAGCAGAAAGAATGTTCTGGAATTTCCAGAGCACTATTTCTTATTATTTAGCATGGACCTTCAGGTGTGATTTCAGTCTAAAGAAAAACTTGAATACGTACATGATTGAAAAACCTTAGTAGCATTGTCCTCATCTTGGGGGAATATGGCCTTATCTTTCTGTCCAGCTCTTTCTCTTTTATGCAATTACTATTGTTTAATGTCTTATTTAAAAAACTGGTTATGTTACCGAACCAAATTTGGGCCTGCTCACCCGTGCGCAGTAAAGCCAAGCTACTGACACTGGGCTGTGGTGCAGTGCAGTAAGGCATCATCAGCCACGGAGTTGGGGACAGCTAGTGCTCAAAAAACCTGAACTCCCCGATGGGTCTCAGGAAAGCATTTTAAAGGCCAGCTGAGGGAGGGGAGTGATCACCTTATGCACAATTCTGATTGGTTGACGGTGAGGTAACAGGGCTGGCTGTGTCACAGGGGTTAACGTTATCAATCCTTAGGCTCCAGAAGGCTTGGGGGCTGTGTGCTCATGGTCATCACGTGGTTGCATTTTCCATTTGACGTTGGTTTTAGCATCTGTAAAACAACTCAGGAAATGTGCATCAGGTACTATTCTCTAGGTACTTCAAGGAGGAGCTACAGCAGAGGATATAGGGGAGGGGTCTGTCCTGGGAAGAACCCATAGGGTCTTGCTCAGTTACAGTTCCCCCTTTTCTTTGATACTCCTTAACCTTGAGGAGAACAGGTGTTGGACAAGAAAGGGAGTAACGTTTTGGGTGGAGAGGTTAATCATAAACTTGGTAGAGGAACTTGGTTTTAGGGGGACTCGGTTTCAGTTATGTCCTTATTTCCGGGGGTATGAAAATGTTAAAGAAACTCATGGTGTAGACTTATCATGTATTTAATTAGTCTTTGATGGCTGACAATTCAGCTTAACATTCATGTTTCACCTTCATGACTTTTTTTTCCCTTAGGTGGAAACCAGTCAGAGGTTGAAGTCAGGCAGAGACAACAACTTCAACTGATACAATCTAAATACCAGAAAAAGGTCAGAATCCATCTCTTTTAGCTTAAATTGGGCAAGAAATTAGAGTACCAGCACTTTGAAAGTAACCACGAAATAACACAGTAACTTTACCAAAAGCATAAAACCTTCAAACAAACTGCAAAAGAAAGTCTCAGAAATCAAAGAAGTCAGGATGTGAGAAGTGAAGGGATAAATACTGCAAATTCTCACCCAAGCTGTCTATCAGTCAGTGAGACCTTTGGTAAAGGGGTTTTTTCTCCCCTAGTTTAAGTCTCTACTATGTTTAGAATATTCAGGTTCTAAGAACATGGATCTGTTTACTCCATTCCAGTCCTGAAAGTACTACAAAAATTTTTAAGATTCCAGCAATTTTTTTTTTTTAACAGTGAACTCTGAGTTTTATAATCAGGGAAAATTATCTGCCCTTTCTTCTCTCCAACCTGGTGGAGGTGGGTTGGGGACAGAGGAGACAGAAAGACAGAGACCAAGGAAGAAACACAAAGAAATTGCATGGGCAGCAGATGTGGCCTGATCATCCTCTGTGATCTAAGTAGCTTGAAGAACCAACCTATAATCATGGCACACTATATCACAGAAAATACTGTAATTTGCCTTTCATCATAATTTTTTTTTAACATCTTTATTGGAGTATAACTGCTTTACAATGGTGTGTTAGTTTCTGCTTTATAACAAAGTGAATCAGTTATACATATACATATGTCCCCATATCTCTTCCCTCTTGCCTCTTCCTCTCTCCCACCCTCCCTATCCCAACCTCTAGGTGGTCACAAAGCACCGAGCTGATCTCCCTGTGCTATGCAGCTGCTTCCCACTACCCTAGCTATCTATTTTATATTTGGTAGTGTATATATGTCCATGCCACTCACTCACTTTTTCCCATCTTACCCTTCCCCCTCCCCATATCCTCAAGTCCATTCTCCAGTAGGTCTGTGTCTTTATTCCCATCTTGTCCCTAGGTTCTTCATGGCCATTTTTTTTTTTTTTTTTAGATTCCATATATATGTGTTAGCATACGGTATTTGTTTTTCTCTTTCTGACTTACTTCACTGTGTATGGCAGACTCTAGGTCCATCCACCTCACTAAAAATAACTCAATTTCGTTTCTTTTTATGCCTGAGTAATATTCAATTGTATATATGTGCCACATCTTCTTTATCCATTCATCTGTCGATGGACACCTAGGTTGCTTCCATATCCTGGCTATTGTAAATAGAGCTGCATTGAATATTGTGGTACATGACTCTTTTTGAATTATGGTTTTCTCAGGGTATATGCCCAGTAGTGGGATTGCTGGGTTGTATAGTAGTTCTATTTTTAGTTTTTTAAGGAACCTCCATACTGTTCTCCATTGTGGCTGTATCAATTTACATTCCCACCAACAGTGCAACAGGGTTCCCTTTTCTCCACACCCTCTCCAGCATTTATTGTTTGTAGATTTTTTGATGATGGCCATTCTGATTGGTGTGAGATGATATCTCATTGCAGTTTTGATTTGCTTTTCTCTAATGATTAATGATGTTGAGCATTCTTTCATGTGTTTGTTGGCAGTCTGTATATCTTCTTTGGAGAAATGTCTCTTTAGGTCTTCTGCCCATTTTTGGATTGGGTTGTTGTTTTTTTTGATATTGAGCTGCATGAGCTGCTTGTCAGTTTTGGAGATTAATCCTTTGTCAGTTGCTTCGTTTGCAAATATTTTCTCCCATTCTGAGGGTTGTCTTTTTGTCTTGTTTATGATTTCCTTTGCTGTGCAAAAGCTTTTAAGTTTCATTAGGTCCCATTTGTTTATTTTTGTTTTTATTTCCATTTCTCTAGAAGGTGGGTCAAAAAGGATCTTGCTGTGATTTATGTCATAGAGTGTTCTGCCTGTTTTCCTCTAAGAGTTTGATAGTGTCTGGCCTTACATTTAGGTCTTTAATCCATTTTGAGTTTATTTTTGTGTATGGTGTTAGAGAGTGTTCTAATTTCATTCTTTTACTTGTAGCTGTCCAGTTTTCCCAGCACCACTTATTGAAGAGGCTGTCTTTTCTCCATTGTATATTCTTGCCTCCTTTATCAAGGATAAGGTGACCATATGTGCGTGGGTTTATCTCTGGGCTTTCTGTCCTGTTCCATTGATCTATATTTCTGTTTTTGTGCCACTACCATACTGTCTTGATTACTGTAGCTTTGTAGTATAGTCTGAAGTCCAGGAGCCTGATTCCTCCAGCTCCATTTTTCTTCTTAAGATTGATTTGGCTATTCGGGGTCTTTTGTGTTTCCATACAAATTGTGAAATTTTTTGTTCTAGTTCTGTGAAAAATGCCAGTGGCAGTTTGACAGGAATTGCATTGAATCTGTAGATTGCTTTGGGTAGTATAGTCATTTTCACAATGTTGATTCTTCCAATCTAAGAACATGGTATATATCTCCATCTGTTTGTATCATCTTTAATTTCTTTCATCAGTGTCTTAGTTTTCTGCCTACAGGTCTTTTGTCTCCTTACGTAGGTTTATTCCTAGATATTTTATTCTTTTCATTGCAGTGGTAAAGTGTTTTCTTAATTTCACTTTCAGATTTTTCATCATTAGTGTATAGGAATGCAAGCAATTTCTGTGCATTAATTTTGTATCCTGCTACTTTACCAAATTCATTGATTAGCTCTAGTAGTTTTCTCATAGCATCTTTAGGGTTCTCTATGTATAGTATCATGTCATCTGCAAACAGTGACAGCTTTACTTCTTCTTTTCCGATTTGGATTCCTTTTATTTCTTTTTCTTCTCTGATTGCTGTGGCTAAAACTTCCAAAACTATGTTGAATGGTAGTGGTGAGAGTGGGCAACCTTGTCTTGTTCCTGATCTTAGAGGAAATGGTTTCAGTTCTTCATGATCGAGAATGATGTTGGCTGTGGGTTTGTCATATATGGCCTTTATTATGTTGGGGTAAGTTCCCTCTATGCCTGCTTTCTGGAGGGTCTTTTTCATTAAATGAGTGTTGAATTTTGTTGAAAGCTTTCTCTGCATCTATTGAGATGATCATATGGTTTTTCTCCTCAGTTTCTTAATATGGTGTATCACATTGATTGACTTGGCATATATTGAAGAATCTTTGCATTCCTGGGATAAACCCCAGTTGATCATGGTGTATGATCCTTTTAATGTGCTGTTGGAGTCTGTTTGCTAGTATTTTGCTGAGGATTTTTGCATCTGTGTTCATCAGTGATACCGGCCTGTAGTTTTCTTTCTTTGTGACATGTTTGTCTGGCTTTGGTATCAGGGTGATGGTGGCCTCGTAGAATGAGTTTGGGAGTGTTCATCCCTCTGTTATATTTTGGAAGAGTTTGAGAAGGATAGGTGTTAGCTCTTCTCTAAATGTTTGATAGAATTTGCCTGTGAAGCCATCTGGTCCTGGGCTTTTGTTTCTTGGAAGACTTTTAATCACAGTTTTAATTTCAGTGCTTGTGATTGGTCTGTTCATATTTTCTGTTTCTTCCTGGTTCAGTCTCAGAAGGTTGTGCATTTCTAAGAATTTGTCCATTTCTTCCAGGTTGTTCATTTTATTGGCATAAAGTTGCTTGTAGTGATCTCTCATGATCCTTTGTATTGCTGCAGTGTCAGTTGTTACTTCTCCTTTTTCATTTCTAATTCTATTGATTTGAGTCTTCTCCCTTTTTCTCTTGATGAGTCTGGCTAATGGTTTATCAATTTTATCTTCTCGAAGAACCAGCTTTTAGTTGTATTGATCTTTGCTATCTTTTCCTTCATTTCTTTTTCATTTATTTCTGATTGGATCTTTATGATTTCTTTCCTTCTGCTAACTTTGGGGTGTTTTAGTTTTTCTTTCTCTGATTGCTTTAGGTGTACGTTTAGGTTGTTTATTTGAGATGTTTCTTCTTTCTTAAGGTAGGATTGTATTGCTATAAACTTCCCTCTTAGAACTGCTTTTGCTGCATCCCATAGGTTTTGGGTCATCGTGTTTTCATTGTCATTTGTTTCTAGGTATTTTTTGATTTCCTCTTTGATTTCTTCAGTGATCTCTTGATTATTATGTAGTGTATTGTTTAGCTTCCATGTGTTTGTATTTTTTATAGAGTTTTTTCTGTAATTGATATCTAGTCACATAGTGTTGTGGTTGGAAAAGATACTTGATATGATTTCAATTTTCTTAAATTTACCAAGGCTTGATTTGTGACCCAAGATATGATCTATCCTGGAGAATGTTCCATGAGCACTTGAGAAGAAAGTGTATTCTGTTGTTTTTGGATGGAATGTCCTATAAATATCAATTTAGTCCATCTTTTTTAATGTATCATTTAAAGCTTGTGTTTCCTTATTTATTTTCATTTTGGATGATCTGTCCGTTGGTGAAAGTGGGGTGTTAAAGTCCCCTACTATGAATGTGTTACTGTTGATTTCCCCTTTTATGACTGTTAGTATTTGCCTTATGTATTGAGGTGCTCCTATGTTGGCTGCATAAATATTTACAATTGTTATATCTTCTTCTTGGATCGATCCCTTAATCATTATGTAGTGTCCTTCTTTGTCTCTTCTGATAGTCCTTATTTTAAAGTCTATTTTGTCTGATATGAGAATTGCTACTCCAGCTTTCTTTTGGTTTCCATTTGCATGGAATATCTTTTTCCATCCCCTCACTTTCAGTCTTATGTGTCCCTAAGTCTGAAGTGGGTCTCTTGTAGACAGCATATATACGGGTCTTATTTTTGTATCCATTCAGCCAGTCTGTGTCTTTTGGTGGGAGCATTTAATGCATTTACGTTTAAGGTTGTTATCGATATGTATGTTCCTAGTACCGTTTTCTTAATTGTTTTGGGTTTGTTATTTTAGGTCTTTTCCTTTTCTTGTGTTTCTTGCCTGGAGAAGTTCCTTTAGCATTTGTTGTAAACCTGGTTTGGTGGTGCTGAATTCTGTTAGCTTTTGCTCGGCTGTAAAGGTTTTAATTTCTCTGTCAAATATGAATGAGATTCTTGCTGGGTATAGTAATCTTGGTTGTAGGTTTTTCCCCATCATCACTTTAAATATGTCCTGCAAGTCCCTTCTGGCTTGCAGAGTTTCTGCTGAAAGATCAGCGTTAACCTTATGGGGATTCCCTTTTATGTTATTTGTTGTTTTTCCCTTGCTGCTTTGAATATTTTTTCTTTGTATTTAATTTTTGATACTTTGATTAATATGTGTCTTGGCATGTTTCTCCTTGCATTTATCCTGTATGGGACTCTCTGTGCTTCCTGGACTTGACTAACTATTCCCTTTCCCATATTAGGGAAGTTTTCAGCTATAATCTCTTCAAATATTTTCTCAGTCCCTTTCTTTTTCTCTTCTTCTGTGACCCCTATAATTCGAATGTTGGTGCATTTAATGTTGTCCCAGAGGTCTCTGAGACTGACCTCAATTCTTTTCATTTTTTTTCTTTATTCTGCTCTGCAGTAGTTATTTCTACTATTTTATCTTCCAGGTCACTTATCCGTTTTTCTGCCTCAGTTACTCTGCTATTGATCCCTTCTAGAGAATTTTAATTTCATTTACTGTGTTGTTCATCACTGTTTGTTTGCTCTTTAGTTCTTCTAGGTCCTTGTTAAACGTTTCTTGTATTTTCTCCATTCTACTTCCAAGATTTTGGATCATCTTTACTATTATTATTCTGAATTCTTTTTCAGGCAGACTGCCTATTTCCTCTTCATTTGTTAGGTCTGGGGGGTTTTTACCTTGTTCCTTCATCTGCTGTGTGTTTTTCTGTCTTTTCATTTTGCTAATCTTACCGTGTTTGGGGTCTCCTTTTTGCAGGCTGCAGGTTCATAGTTCTCGTTGTTTTTGGTATCTGTCCCCCGTGGCTAAGGTTGGTTCAGTGTGTGGTGTCGGCTTCCTGGTGGAGGGGACTAGTGCCTGTGTTCTGGTGGATCAGGCTTGATCTTGTCTTTCTGGTGGGCAGGACCACGTCTGGTGGTGTGTTTTGGGGTGTCTGTAACCTTATTATGATTTTAGGCAGCCTCTCTGCTAATGGGTGGGGTTGTGTTCCTTTCTTGCTAGTTGTTTGGCATAGGGTGTCCAGCACTGTAGCTTGCTGGTCGTTGAGTGAAGCTGGGTCTTGGTGTTGAGATGGAGACCTCTGGGAGATTGTCGCCCTTTGATATTATGTGGAGCTGGGAGGTCTCTTGTGGACCAATGTCCTGAAGTTGGCTCTCTCACCTCAGAAGCACAGCCCTGACGCCTGGCTGGAGCACCAAGAGCCTGTCATCCACACGGCTCAGAAAAAAAGAGAGAAAAAGAAAGAAAGAAAGAAAGAAGAAGATAAAATAAAATAAAATAAAAAGTTATTAAAATAAAAAATAATAATTAAAAATTTATTTTTTAAAGTAATAAAAAGAAAGAAGAGAGCAACCTAACCAAATCACAAATCCACCAATGATAACAAGTGCTAAAAACTACTATAAAAAAAAAAAAAAGACGGAGAGACTGAACTCTAGGACAAATGGTTAAAGCATAGCTGTGCAGACAAAATCACACACAGAAGCATACACATACACACTCTCAAAAAGAGGAAAAGGGAAAAAAAAATATATCGTTGCTCCCAAAGTCCGCCTCCTCAATTTGGGATGATTCGTTGTCTATTCAGGTATTGCACAGATGCAGGGTACATCAAGTGGATTGTGGAGATTTAATCCGCTGCTCCTGAAGCTGCTGGTAGAGATTTCCCTTTCTCTTCTGTGTTTGCACAGCTCCTCGTTCAGCTTTGTATTTGGCCCCGCCTCTGCATGTAGGTCGCCTGAGGGCGTCTGTTCTTTGCTCAGACAGGACGGGGTTAAAGGAGCAGCTCCTTCAGGGGCTCTGGCTCACTCAGGCCTGGGGGAGGGAGGGGTATGGATTCGGGGCGAGCCTGTGGCAGCAGAGGCCGGTGTGTCATTGCAGCAGCCTGAGGCACGCCGTGCGTTCTCCCGGGGAAGGTGTCCCTGGATCCTGGGACCCTGGCAGTGGCGGGATGCACAGGCTCTCAGGAGGGGAGGTGTGGACAGTGACCTGTGTTCACACACAGGCTTCTTGGTGGCTGCAGGAGCAGCCTTAGCATCTCATGCCCGTCTCTGGGGTCCGCGCTTTTAGCTGCGGCTTGCGCCCGTCTCTGGAGCTCCTTTAAGCTGCGCTCTTAATCCCCCCTCCTCGCGCACCAGGAAACAAAGAGGCAAGAAAAAGTCTCTTGCCTCTTCGGCAGCTCCAGACTTTTTCCCGGACTCCCTCCCGGCTAGCCGTGGTGCACGAACCCCCTGCAGCCAGTGTTCACGCCGCCAACCCCAGTCTCTCCCTGCGCTCCGAATGAAGCCCGAGCCTCAGCTCCCAGCCCCGCTCGCCCCAGCAGGGGAGCAGACAAGCCTCTCAGGCTGGTGAGTGCCGGTCGGCACCGATCCTCTGTGCGGGAATCTCTCCGCTTTGCCCTCCGCACCCCTGTTGCTGCGCTGTCCTCCGCGGCCCCGAAGCTCCCCGCTCCGCCTCCCGCAGTCTCCGCCCGCGAAGGGGCTCCTAGTGTGTGGAGACCTTTCCTCCTTCACAGCTCCCTCCCACTGGTGCAGGTCCCATCCCTATCCTTTTGTCTCTGTTTACTCTTTTTTCTTTTGCCCTACCCAGGTACGTGGGGAGTTTCTTGCCTTTTGGGAGGTCTGAGGCCTTCTGCCAGCGTTCAGTAGGTGTTCTGTAGGAGCTGTTCCACGTGTAGATGTATTTCTGATGTATTTGTGGGGAGGAAGGTGATCTCTGCGTCTTACTCCTCTGCCATCTTGAAGCTCTTCCTTTCATCATAATTTTGTGTTCCATTGGTTCAGACTGAAAAATAGTAACTGCTTTTTGTCTTTTGTAATCTCAATACAATTTAGCTTAAAAGAGAAGAATATATAAGAATCAAGAGGGAAGCTGAAGAAGCCGAAATCCAAAAAATGAAGGCAGTTCAGAGACAAAAGGTAAGACATTGGAGAGAATGGTGATTCAGCATTTACTGAGGGCTTCTGATGTGCCAGGTTCTCTCCTAGACACTGTTCATATACAAAGTGTTTAATCCTCACAAGAGCCTATGAAGTGTATAATATTCTTATTACTCAAGTTTGCAAATGAAACTGACAGAGGTTTAGATAACTTGCCCAGGGACTCGTAGCCAGGAAATAGTAGTAGGGTTTGAATCCAGTCTGACTGATCTCAGAGCTAGAGTTCTTTGTCATCACACTCTCTCACCTCCCAGGTAAGTGATCAAAGGAGTAGCTGTGTATTTGGCCGGAAGGCACAGCAGTTAGTAACAATGGCCACCAGTGGTACACCATCATATTTATATCCAAATATTGAATTTTCCAGGGTGAGTGTTAAATAGGTGAACATACCTCTCACTGATAAAGAAAAAGCATGCATTTACATTTCAGCATTAGTGATATGATCTATTTCAAACCTCAAACTGATGTTTTTAGTTTTGATACTCTTTCTGGGGCTTGGGGGGAAAAATCTCTTAAAAATGCTCATCTGCTAGAGAAGGAAGAATATACTGTTCTTCTATCCCCATAACCCCCCCTCCTGCTCCCATCCCCCACAAAGTCCTAAGCTGTAGTAGGTTTTAAGTGTTGGAGGTCTGGGGGCAAGAGGTTGACTCGTGATACCTTTGACCAAGTATGACATCTGCTGCAGGTTTAAGTCATGAAAACACAATTCTTTTTTTGCTGTCTGAATCTCTCTTCATCCTTCTCTTTCTTTTTTTCCTCTTAAAGATTGAGTGTTGGTCAAAATTTGAACCTGGTTACAAAGCAATAGATATTTTTATTAGAGTTAATGAAGCCCAAACCTGATGGCTTGTGGAATGTGCAAGAGTGTTAGTCTTTTCTTTCCCCGAGGAGCTCTCTACCTGGCTGGGGAGCAAACTAAGTCTTTCTTGCAAGGTGTCCTGTTGTGCTGTGTGACCTTGGACAGGCCCCTACCCCTCTCCGAACTACTCCTGTAAAATGAGTCTGTAAGCCCCACCTCCTTGTCTTTCAAGGCTGGGAACATGTGTAGATGTAGAGATGCTACATCTGTAGAGATGCTACATCTGTAAAGATGTAGGCTCTGGGGTAGAGATAAGACTGGACTTATACATGAGGAATTGAAATGCTGGAGGTATAAAAAAAAAAGAGTATAGGCAGTTTGTTTACTAAATTGGATTCAGCAGTTCACTGCCAAGTCATCAGCTATTATACCTTCATTGAAAAAATTCTCATAATAACTTTTTAAAACCTGTCTTTCTCTCTCTTTCTACCTCTCTATTCCTCACTCTTTCATTTCTTTTTTATTTTTTATTTTTTTATTATTATTTTTTTATTTATTTATTTTTTTTTTTTTGTGGTACGTGGGCCTCTCACTCTTTCCATTCAACCCCACCCCTGCCCCATTTTTTCCTTCGAAGGAAGGTTCACACTTCAGTCTTGTGATTGTAGAGAAGGTATTCCCTTTATATAGCATAATCATTCTGTATTTTAGGTGAAACTAAGAAAATCATCAAATTTAATTAAGGGGCTTGCAGATCCTAAAGAATTGTGTTGTAAACTCTTATCCTAAAAGTGATTTATTAGTTGTCATTTAATACTCATAATTGCCTGGTTTGTGGGTCATTTATAGCTCATTTTTTCTTTGGTCAAATTATGTATACTATTCAGAAATGTTAGTGGCTGAAACAGTTTTCTTTAACATTGAGTAAAAGCAGCATTCCCTCCCTTTCCAAGTTATACTATAACACCAGATGTACAGCAATCATTAACTACAGAAATCTTAACTGGGTTGGCTTTTCTAACCTGACAAGTGTAGTGATTATTGGTATAAATTTGTCCAAAAGTGAGAGGTAGGGAGAGGGAGTTGCTACGTGTAGATCCATCCCATTCAAAATGTGGTCCTTGAACCAGCAGCCTTGATATCACTTATTAGGCATATAGAATCTCAAATCCCACCCCAGACCTTCTGAAACATAACCTGCATTTTAACAAGCTCCCCAGGTGATTCTTGTACACATACCGGTTTGAGGAGCATTAATCTAAATTGCCTTACAAGAGAAGCGGCAGCCCACTCTGGTCCTTCCACAGACTTGATTTCTCTGGCTAATTGGCCTGGACTGCCACCCTGACCTAGCTCTCCCTGTTGTATATAAATCTGTTGCTTTTCATACTAAATGTGAGCCCATTTAATAGCTTGTGTCAGATAAAAGAAAAATGGACATTAGCCACCTAGAAATGGCATACTTCACATTGCCAGTGTGAAAATGGCCAAGGGAAGCGATGATGGCTGTGCTTATGGAGCATTTATTCCTTAAAATGCACAGCAAACACACACATGGACACCAGCTTACAAAATACCACCGTCCCCCACAGGCAAATGGCTGCTGTCCAGGAACTATAAGCCAAGTCGAATCCAAGAGCCTGTTGCCACCCGAGAACCTCTAACTTGGCCTCTTGGTCTTAATCCCCCTTGACCTTCAGTTTGTCCTCTCCCAGGAGGGGTCACCAGGGAACACTGGGTCTCTTTCTGATTGGTCACCACCTGTGTGTGGGTGAGGGGAGAGTAAACTGTACTCCCTGCCAGCACATATGGGTCCTTAATACGCACAAAGGTATGAAAGGCAGCCAGCTCTTTAGCCTCTGATCATGTCAATGGGATCCAGGAAGAGTTAACCCTGTGGGTTAAGGGGAACTTTGGAGAGGGCACTGGGATGCTTCAGTTAAACTTGTATTCCCCACATTAGAGTATATTGATGTTATGTATTCTTCCAGTGGTGTACTGGGGCCTCCTTGTTGTACTGGCTCATGAGAGTGGATTGTTCTATTTTGTGGGCTAGCGGACTTCATGTTGGTAGACTGAAATTGACCATGAGGAGTATTTTCACCACAGAAATCAGTAAATGCTGCAAATCAACCTCCCCTCCTCCTCCCTGCTAGAGCTAGTTGTTAAGCTTATCAGCACGCCACTGCTTTGCCCCAAAGGAAAGAGGTCCTCCTTTCACTGCCTCCGCCCCCCGCCCTGCCACATTCCCAAACCAAGCTTCAGAGGGCTTGGCAGCGAGGGCAAGGATTTTATGAATTATCTGGCACATTATGTGTCTGATACTTACTGATTTAAAAATAGATTACAACCCATGTGGTAGGCAGAAAAATGCCCCCTCCCCTCCTCTTCCACATTCTAATCCCTGGAACCTAGGGAGATGTTCTGTTACATGGCAAAGGGGAGCTAAGTTTGCAGGTGGAATTAAGGTTGCTAATCAACTTACTTTCAAGTAGAGAGAGTGTATCCTGCATTATTCAGGTGGGTCCAGTGTTATCATAAGGGTCCTTAACTTGGAAGAGGGAGAGAGAAGATTGAGAGCATGGAGAGATAGAGCAGTAGAAAGACTCAGCCTGCCACTGTTGGCTTGAAGCAGAGAAAAGCCATTGGATAATAGAGACTAAACCTATGGGTAGGAGCTACAAAACCATAACTATGGTGCCCCTAACTTCTACACTGAACAAATAGATGACTGACATCTTAGGATAGCAGAGCATGCAAACAGAAGATGTGATTCTGGAAATAGAGTCCTTATTGTAGGGGTAGAAAGAAGTAAAGACCCTGCTGTAGTCTTTGGAGGGGACTCGTATTGCTAGCTACCTAAAAGCCTTGTGGACATAACAGCTGCTACTGGTACTGGAGACGGCCAATTTCCCTCAACATCAATATATTATTTTAGCCCCATCAGACCCGTTTTGGACTTCTGACTTCCAGAACTGTAAGATTATTAACAAATTTATGTTGTTTTAAGCTATTAAGTTCATGGTTGTTATAGCAGCAATAGAAAACTAATACAACTCATGTGGTTTTATAGTGTATTAATTTCTTTTCCTGGAGATCTGTATGGCAGAGTAATAATTTGATTTTTTCCAGACTTTCATAATGCCCACAAACTTAAAAAATAAAAATCTCCAATTCCGTGTCAAAGACCCTCCCTACCTCCTGGATTCATCTTATTCTGCCTTTGATCCTCATATGTTTGAAATCATATTACATAGGGCTATATAGTTTACAACGTCTTTTATTTGATTCTCCCAACCTCTTAGGGTATTATAACCTCAGAAAGGGCAAGAAATCAGCTAGGGATCTGAGTGGCAAACGAAGCCTTTCCTTGTTCTTTCCAGTAAACTATAAAGTCATAAAGCTGATGAAGTTATTTGGAGCCCTGGAGGTCACGGTGTATTACGTAGACACTGAGAAGCATCATTAGTTCGTTTTAATGTTATAAAATGAAGTAGGAGCTACTTTGTACCTGCTTCACTTCCTATTAGCATAAAAAACAAGGTATGCATATTAGATGCAGAGATGCATCCATATACATGTTTTTTTTTTTTAAATTAATTAATTTATTTTTGGCTGCGTTGGGTCTTTGTTGCTGTGCGCAGGCTTTCTCTAGTTACAGCGAGTGGGGGCTACTCTTCATTGTGGTTTGTGGGCTTCTCATTGTGGTGGCTTTTCTTGTTGTGGAGCACGGCTCTAGGCGCGTGGGCTTCAGTAGCTGTGGCTCACGGGCTTAGTAGTTGTGGCTCTATAGAGCAGGCTCAGTAGTTGTGGTGCACGGGCTTTGTTGCTCCATGGCATGTGGGATCTTCCCGGACCAGGGCTCGAACCCATGCCCCCTGCATTGGCAGGCGGATTCTTAACCACTGCACCACCAGGGAAGCCCCATATACATGTCTTTAAGAAATCACACTTGTTGCTTATTTCTAGGAAACAAGTACTAGCGAGGGCTAACGGTTTAAGAACAGTTTTAGGAATAAAACTCAACATCAAGGAAATTATTTCAATATTGTTTTTATAAACTGCGAAAAGTTTCCATTTCTGAAAACTTTCAAGGAACAAAACAAAACTTTCAAGTATTTCCCAGAAGTATGGTTCCTACATCATGTATTTCTTTGTGGATGAACTGGTGTGGGCA